CTCCAGAAGATCAAAAGAGACTCCGAGGCTCTGGGCAGGAAATTAAAGCAATTAAATGCACAAATTGTCATCTCATCTGTCCTCCCAGTTTTACGACGTGGCCCAGGGAGAGAGGGGAAAATTGTGGAAGTGAACAGCTGGCTTCGCAAATGGTGTAAACAGGAACGGTTTGGATTCTTAGATCACGGACTGCGGTTTCTTGAAGATGGACTTCTGGCAAGCGATGGGCTGCACCTCACAACGGTTGGGAGGAATGTTTTTGCCAAAAATCTCAGAAACCTCATCAGGAGGGCTTTAAACTGACTAATGTGGGGGAGGGAGACAGTGCTCCTGAAGGTAGGAGTCTATCAATTGATGAAGATGATCATCCAAATGTCATAGACCAAATGGAGCAAACAGCACGCAGACCTAGTGGTGGGAGGAAAAAATCCTTAAATAAGAGACACGGGGGAATGATTAATGGACTTCAATGTCTGTATACTAATGCGCAAAGCATGGGTAATAAAAAAGATGAGCTTGAGCTCTTGGTGCAGCAAACTAAATATGGCATAATAGGCATCGCTGAAACCTGGTGGGATAAGTCCCACGATTGGAATGTAATAATGGAGGGATACAATCTATTTCAGAGAAACAGACCAGACAAGAAAGGAGGAGGAGTGGCGTTATATGTCAGGGATGTGTATACCTGTGAAGAGATCCAAGATTTAGAACCTCAAAGCCAAAGTGAGAGCATTTGGGTCAAAATTAAGGGAGAGAAGAATAACAGTGACCTCATTGTGGGAGTTTACTATGGATCCCCAAGCCAAACGGAGGACATAGATGATGCCTTCCTGGAACAGATGGCCAAGCATGCAAAAGGAAGGGAGATAGTAGTAATGGGGGACTTAAATTACCCGGATATTTGCTGGATGTCAAACTCAGCCAAGAGCATAAGGTCAAACAGATTCCTCACTGGCCTTGCGGACAACTTCGTTGTCCAGAAAGTGGGAGAAGCAACAAGAGGAACAGCCATTTTAGATCTGGTCCTAACCAATGTTGATGACCTGGTTAGTGGGGTAGAAGTGGAAGGATCATTAGGCGCGAGTGATCATGCTCTTCTGAAGTTTACTATACAGCGGAAAGGAGCAGCCAAGCATACTAGGACTCAATTTCTTGACTTTAAGAAAGCCGACTTCATAAAACTTAGGGAAGTGCTGGGTGAGATCCCATGGACAGTAATACTAAAAGGAAAGGGAGTTCATGATGGCTGGGAGTTTGTTAAGAGGGAGATAGTAAAAGCACAACTTCAGGCAATACCAATGAGACGGAAACATGGAAGGTGCCTAAAGAAGCCAGGGTGGCTATCTAAAGAACTTTTAACTGAGTTAAGATTAAAAAAGGATGTGTACAAAAAATGGAAAAGGGGGGAAACCACCAAAGAGGAATTCAAACAAATAGCCAGCACGTGTAGACACCAAGTCAGAAAAGCTAAAGCACAGAATGAACTCAGGCTTGCTAGAGAGGTTAAAAGCAACAAAAAAGGCTTTTAGGGTATGTTCGTAGCAAAAGGAAGAACAAAGAAACAGTGGGGTCGCTCAGAGGAGAAGATGGTGAAATGCAAACCGGGGACACAGAAAGGGCTGAACTCCTCAATGCCTTCTTTGCCTCAGTCTTCTCCGATAAAGAAAACAATGCCCGACCTGAAGAATTTGGAGCAAATGATTCAGCAGAGGAAACACAGCCCAGAATAACTAAGGAGATAGTACAAGAATACTTGGCTAGTTTAGATGTATTCAAGTCTCCAGGGCCAGATGAACTGCATCCAAGAGTATTAAAAGAACTGGCCAGGTGCCCCATGATTTTCTTGTAAAGAAGCTGGTAAAATGCGGACTTGACTATGCTACCACTCGGTGGATTTGTAACTGGCTGACTGACCGAACCCAAAGGGTGCTCATCAATGGTTCCTCTTCATCCTGGAGAAGAGTGACTAGTGGGGTGCCACAGGGTTCTGTCTTGGGCCCGGTCTTATTCAACATGGCCCGCCGGGACCACATAACACCGGTTCTGAGAGATCTGCACTGGCTCCCAGTACGTTTCCGAGCACGATTCAAAGTGTTGGTGCTGACCTTTAAAGCCCTAAACGGCCTCGGTCCTGTATACCTGAAGGAGCGTCTCCACCCCCATCGTTCAGCCCGGACACTGAGATCCAGCGCCGAGGGCCTTCTGGCGGTTCCCTCATTGCGAGAAGTGAGGCTACAGGGAACCAGACAGAGGGCCTTCTCGGTAGTGGCACCCGCCCTGTGGAACGCCCTCCCATCAGATGTCAAAGAGATAAAGAATTACCTGACATTCAGAAAACATCTTAAGGCAGCCCTGTTCAGGGAAGTTTTTAATATGTAATGCTGTACTGTTTTTAACACTGATTGGGAGCCGCCCAGAGTGGCTGGGGAAACTCAGCCAGATGGGCGGGGTATAAATAATAAATTATTATTATTATTATTATTATTATTATTATTATTATTATTATTACAACATCTTTAACAACGACTTGGATGATGGACTCAAGGGCATCCTGATCAAATTTGCAGATGACACCAAACTGGGAGGGGTGGCTAACACCCCAGAGGACAGGATCACACTTCAAAACGACCTTGACAGATTAGAGAACTGGGCCAAAACAAACAAGATGAATTTTAACAGGGAGAAATGTAAAGTATTGCACTTGGGCAAAAAAAATGAGAGGCACAAATACAAGATGGGTGACACCTGGCTTGAGAGCAGTACATGTGAAAAGGATCTAGGAGTCTTGGTTGACCACAAACTTGACATGAGCCAACAGTGTGACGCGGCAGCTAAAAAAGCCAATGCAATTCTGGGCTGCATCAATAGGAGTATAGCATCTAGATCAAGGGAAGTAATAGTGCCACTGTATTCTGCTCTGGTCAGACCTCACCTGGAGTACTGTGTCCAGTTCTGGGCACCACAGTTCAAGAAGGACACTGACAAACTGGAACGTGTCCAGAGGAGGGCAACCAAAATGGTCAAAGGCCTGGAAACGATGCCTTATGAGGAACGGCTAAGGGAGCTGGGCATGTTTAGCCTGGAGAAGAGGAGGTTAAGGGGTGATATGATAGCCATGTTCAAATATATAAAAGGATGTCACATAGAGGAGGGAGAAAGGCTGTTTTCTGCTGCTCCAGAGAAGCGGACACGGAGCAATGGATCCAAACTACAAGAAAGAAGATTCCACCTAAACATTAGGAAGAACTTCCTGACAGTAAGAGCTGTTCGACAGTGGAATTTGCTGCCAAGGAGTGTAGCAAGCGCTTGCCTCTCTATATTTTTTGTGGTGTCTGCGTTGTTTCTTCTCGCTCCAACGTTGAATCGCCAGTTAGTTCTTTTTTGTACTTCCTCCAGAATTTTCCCAACTCGTCCACTGATCTAAAAATTTTCTTCTGTCCTTGTATGTAAAAGTGATACCCTCAGAAAATTCCCACGGGAATCTAATCTAATTCTTCTTGAGTGCATCTGTTACTGTCTTATACTTCTGCCTGTTTGGTCCATATGTATTACTGTATTTTTCGCTCCATGACACACTTTTTTCTTCCTAAAAAGGGGAAATGTCTGTGCGTCTTATGGAGCAAATGCGTGGTCCCTGGGGCGAATTGCCCAGGGGCAGAAAGCAGATCATACTTTTTTAAAAAAAGAGGGAAGTGGGTGTTGAAACAAAGCCGCTGATCGGGGAGAGAGATAAGGGATGCTAGAGATAAAGGAAACTGCCTGGGAGGCGGGAGGTAAAGACAGCAAACTTGCAAGGAGAGAAGACAGGAAGACTAAAGCAATAAGGAGAGAAATTAGAAGAAAAGGAGGAGCAAAAAACTGCTCTCGCTAAGGAAAAGACACTAAGGCAAACAAGAGGGAAGAGAGTGTTGAAAGGAAACAGCTGATTGGTGGGATTGGAAGAGAGATAAGGGACGCTGCCTGGGAGAGAGGAAGTAAAAGCCCATGGATCCTCAGGATTTTTACATTGGGTCACCCCAAATTCACCATCAGATCACATAGCATGTTCATGGCTACAGCCTGCACCAAAAAAACCACACACTCACTGTTGCGTGGGGCCACAGTGATGCAAAAACGTGGTTACAAAGCACAGATCCACATGGATCCTCAGGATTTTTGCATTGGGTCACCCCAAATTCACCATCAGATCACATGTTTGTGGTCACAGCATGAACCACAAAAATCATACACCCACTGTTTCATTCAGAATATTTTTTTGCTTGTTTTCCTCCTCTAAAAACTAGGTGCATCTTATGGTCAGGTGCATCTTATGGAGCGAAAAATACAATTACTCATTCATAACTTTTCAAATATGTTCGCTTATATTGCTGCAAACAGTTTATAAAGGTAAAGGGACCCCTGACCATTAGGTGCAGTCGTGGCCAACTCTGGGGTTGCAGCGCTCATCTTGCTTTACTGGCTGAGGAAGCCAGTGTACAGCTTCCAGGTCATGTGGCCAGCAGGACTAAGCCGCTTCTGGCAAACCAGAGCAGCGCACGGAAACGCCATTTACCTTCCTGCCGGAGCGGTACCTATTTATCTACTTGCATTTTGACGTGCTTTCGAACTGCTAGGTTGGCAGGAGCAGGGACCGAGCAACGGGAGCTCACCCCGTCGCGGGGATTCAAACCTCCGACCTTCTGATCGGCAAGTTCTAGGCTCTGTGGTTTAACCCACAGCGCCAGCGTCCGCAAACAGTTTATAGTCGCAGTTTAATAATGAAATCGGTCGGACATTTTAAGGATTTGTTATGTCCTTATCTTGTTTGGGCATCCAAGTAATGTTTGCCTCTTTTCAGGTTTCTGGGGTTTGTCCCGTTTCCGGCACTTGGTTCATAATATCTTTTACAGAAGAGGCTCGTCCTTTAATTCTTTCCAGTAGCCCACAGAGAGGCCACCTGGCTTCCCCAGGAAGAACTTTCCAATAGTAAGAGCGGACAGTGAAAAGGAACTATATTGGAAGGGAGTAGACTCCTCTTTATTGGAGGTTTTTAGGAAGAATTTGGATGGCCATTTGTCACGGGTGCTTGAAACGAGATTTCTGCATTGGAGGGGGTTGGATAAGATTCCGAACTTATTATTCTTTATTCACCCTGCTTTGAGTTCTTAAATGCTTTCAACCCTGTGTGAATTACTTGGTGGGCAATTAGACCAGCACTCTGACTGAAGCTTTCCCCACGTTCCAAACACTAAGAATTTTTCTCTCTTTTATGAACTATTTGATGAAAAGTGAGATGGGCACTTTGACAGAAGCTCTTTCCACATTCAAAGCATTGATATGGTTTGTGACCTATATGAATTCTTCGACGGGAAGTGAGACTGTGCTTGAGACTGAAGCTCTTTCCACATTCCAAGCACTGATAGGGTTTCTCCCCTGTATGAATTATTTGATGGGAAGTGAGAGTCTCGCTTTGACTGAAGCTTTTTCCACATTCAAAGCACTGATACAATTTCTGTCTACTGTGAGTTCTTTCATGGGAAGTGATGGTATCCCTCTGAATGAAGCTCCTTCCTTGATGGGAGATGGACTGGGAGCTCTGACCAATGTTCTCTCCACACGTAGAATATTTAGATGACTTCTCCGATATGTGGATTCTGTTGGGCTCCCCCTTGTTCTTTCTTCCAATTCATCACCATCTGCAATGAAGAGAGCAGCAAATTAGTGCCTCAGGAAGAAATGGAACTCCAGATTATTGAACATTTTTAATGAATGCTTGTGACAGAGGAAGAACTGAAGGGAGTTAGATGTGAGGCCTTACTATAGTTTTCACTTCCTTAGTTTCCTGGTATCAACTGACATATTGCTTGGCTTTTATCTGGGATAGATTTTGTTCTGACTCAATCCTGGAATCCACTCCCTCTCCAAGGTCAGTCATCTCTTTGGTCAATCAAATGCAAACAGAAGCTGAAACAAAAACAAACCTGACAGAAGTTTTGTTTTGACATTTAGAAGTCCTGGGCAGTTAAGACAAGCCTGGTTATTGTTTGAAAAGGCATGACTAGATGAAATACATTCACAGAGAAAACAGTTGTTATCCTGTTGCGTTCCGAAGGCAAAGGAAGGACTGGACCTGATTAATACAATAGACATGAGGCTTGACCAGCAAGACTCTGGGAGGAAGTGCGATCCCCACTCCCTGGCCCAGTCCGTTTTTATTCACAAAAGAACTTTAACATAACGTTTGTAAGAACCAATCTGATTTCCTCTGAGAATTTCAAAAAATCCCCACGTGGGCGCAAAGTAGATCAGAGGAGGCCTCTTAACTACAAAGAACTATTTGCTATTTGAGCATTAATACATGTTTAGGCTAAAATAAACAGGAACCCAGGAAGAATGCATTCAGCAAACCCAGAGGTAATAAACAGGCAGTAAAAGGAAAGAAAGGACAGGCAAGGAAAGAGAGGCATTTTACCATCTCCTTGTGAACTCTGTTTCCTGGCCCCAAAATCTACCTAAAGACTAACAAAGCTGCAGCAGAGCTACCTCCTTATCTTTATGGCCCAGGATGCCTGGTCTGTATTAGAATGCTTTATACGTGACAGTCAGGCATAGAGAAAATGGGGCAGAGGTTTGTGGGATTTATCAGAAATCAGGTCAAATGATTCAAACCCAGTCAAAGTGATGCTTTCACCGCTGACACAATGGCTTGCTTCATTTTTCATAATTCCTCATAGCAATCCTACATGACCACCACATTATCCCTCCATGCAGGGTTCACGGTGGGAATGTTAGAATCCCAGATGCTGTTGGTCTCCATCCAAACAGTGGAGGTTCATCACATAGAGATTTCAAAACAGTTATTATCATCCAACGTCCACGCCTTGTGTGTGAAACAAACAGCAACATCTTCACCTGCCCATTCCCCATCAGCAGTTGCCTCCATGTGGTTGGTCTATATTTATACGCAAATCATTTTCTTCACTTTGAACCCCCCTCCCATTTTCATGAGAAGACCAACTCTGTATTGTTTCATTGGTAAGAGAAGAGGAACACAACGGAACATCTAAACACAACGGCCACAAGAGCTCCTGACTAGGCATTCAGTTTTGTGATGTTGACTGTTCTCTGTTCTCTTCTGTTTCCCCCTTTTTTTTCAGCTGAAAGCAATTAACGAACCCAGAACTCATACACTGACCACTAATTAGATTCTTTATTGTCATTACACAAGTGCAACATTGCACAAGTGCAACGAAATTGGATGCCATCCCTTAAAACAACAAAAGCAAAACAACAACAACAACCAAACAAACCACCTTCCAGCCACACCCACACCCACACCCATCAAACTCCCAGGTCACACTATCGAGTTACAGCATTCAAAAAGGCCACAGCTCTTGGATAGAAACTGTTTTTCAGTCTATTTGTCCTTGACTTGATGTTTCTATACCTCCTGCCAGAAGGCAGTAGTGCAAACAGACTGTATCCCGGGTGAGATGGATCCTGCAGGATGTTGTTTGCTTTCCTAAGGCAACGGGAACCGTACAGTTCTTCCAAAGATGGGAGAGGATGACCAATAATCCTTTGGGCTGTGGTTATGACCTTCTGGAGCACCTTCCTCTCCCTAGCTGTACAACTGGAGAACCAAGCACAAATACAGTATGTAAGTATGCTCTCTATGGAGCCTCGGTAGAAGGACACCAGCAGTCTCTCACTCAGATTGTTCTTCTTTAAAAGTCTGAGGAAATAAATTCTCTGCTGGGCCTTCTTCACCAGAGCAGTGGTATTTGCGCTCCAAGTCATGCCCTGATCGATAGTCACTCCCAAAAACCTGAATTCCGCCACCCTCTCCACCCGTTCCCCGTTGATATACAAGGGCTGAATGTCCGCCTTTTTTTCCCCTGTAATCCACCACCAATTCCTTGGTCTTAGCCGTATTAAGAGCCAGATTGTTCTCTCCACACCAAACACAGAGCCGCTCCACCTCGTCCCGATAGGCGGACTCATCCCCTCCTGAAATGAGCCCTACCACCGTAGTGTCATCAGCAAACTTGATGATTTTGTTGCTGGAATAGATGGCTGTACAGTCATACGTATAGAGAGCATAGAGCAGGGGACTCAACACACAACCCTGTGGTGAGCCGGTGTTAAGGCTAAGGGCTGTGGACATATGTGACCCTACTCTAACCCTCTGAGAACGTTCTGACAAAAAATCCAAAACCCAGAGACAGGTGGAGTTGGAGAGTCCAATCGTCTCTAGCTTGGACACCAGTCTATGGGGGAGGATAGTGTTAAAAGCAGAGCTAAAATCCACAAACAGCAGCCTCACATAACTCCCCGGCTGCTCCAGATGGGACAGAGCAGCATGGAGAGTGGTGGTGATAGCGTCTTCTGTGGATCTATTTGCCCTGTATGCAAACTGGTAGTTGTCAAAAGTTGATGGAAGACAGGAAATAATGTGACGGCGCACCAGTTTCTCAAAACACTTCATGATGATTGGAGTCAGTGCAACTGGTCTGTAGTCATTCAAACTACTGGTTGTGGATTTTTTAGGCAGAGGGACAATAGTTGACGACTTCAGGCAGGGTGGGACAATAGACTGGTGTAAGGACTTGTTGAAGATCTTAGTAAAGACCCTCGCCAGCTGATCCGCACAGCCCTTCAACACCTTTCCAGTGATGCCATCAGGTCCAGCCGCCTTCCTCGGATTCACCATCCTCAATACCTGTCTCACCTCATGTTCCTCTACAGTGAATGAGGGGCCCCTATGGGCTGGTGGCTGTAATACCGGCGTCTCGGGTGGCTCCTTCTCGAAGCGAGCAAAGAAGAGGTTAAGCTCCTCCGCCAGCAAAGGGTCACCGTCGACAGCACCAAGGTTAGGTTTGTAGTTGGTAATATGCTGAATCCCCTGCCACATCTGTCTTGTGTTGTTGCTCCTTAAATTATCCTCAATCCTCTGCCTATAATCCAGTTTTGCCCGTCGAATACCCCTCTTCAAGTTTGCTCTTGCCACACTGTAAAGCTGCACTAATGATGAACTATATGTTTTAGATATTCCAGCAAATTTATTCTGCTATTGTAAATACAAATGACATGAGAAGACTTGGCCTACATATTTGTATCATTTATTAGTCCTATGAACCTTGTTTTTAAAAGCAAATAAGAAGTTATTCCAAAAAGAAAAGAAAAAAGCAATACACAGAGGCCTCATTTGCGTTCAATCTGCAAAGCAGGATCAGGTTCCTTTCAAGAGTTGTGTCTTCCAGTGCTGCGTGATTGATCAGTGAGTTGTCTGACAGATCACAGAACTGGTTTAAAACCTTTTGAGCTGCCAATTCATCACGTTGGCCGGGGAGCTGTGATCTATTCCTACCTCAAATTGCTTGCAGAGGACAAAGGCTCAGGCAGGAAGGTAGGCAGGTGGGGGAGCCCGAAAAGGTGCTCCCCTTCTCCATCTCCATCCGCCTGCCTGCCTCCCCCCACCCCCAAGCTGAGCAAGCCCCAATTCCTCTCTGGCTCCATCCCTCCAGGTCCCCATCTCCCCTCCCCTGGGACTCACCAGATCTCTCGGAGGTCCCTGGGAGGGAACACTCAGAGGTTGTGGGGAGGGATGCAGGAGACAACCTGACCAGGTCAACCGTCCATCTTCCCCCTTTCATCCTCGCTAGCTTTGCAGGATCCGTCTCTTTCATCCTTCCTGAGGAGTCAAGGAGCCAAAACAAGCTGCAGGGTCCTGGGAGAGAGGAAGAAGCAAAGGGAGCCTCAGAGGCCCTGCAGGGATTCTCCTGCCCTAGATATTCTCCTGTCCCTGGAGAAGCACAAATGGGGCAGCCCCTCCCCCACAGAAGCCCCATTTCTAAACATCTCCAGTGGATGCAGTTTCCCCTGTTTGCTCCTCACCCCATTTCGTAAGGCTGACATGTTACGCACAGTAGTGACCTCAGGTAGAACCCCTTGAACTCAGTGGGGACACAACTTGGTGCCAAACCCAGTCACCTTCCTGTCCCTGAGCCTGAAAACTGCAACCCCAGAGCATGGGCAGGAAATAGATGAGTAGCCATTACCTGTAGGTTCCCCCATGCTAGGTGCTTTGTATGGAGAGCCCTGCTGACGCTCTTTGAGATCCCTCATCGCAGGCCAGGCAGATGTTGTGGCCATATTTGCCTCTGTCTGGGGTTGCATGGGGACCAAATCTGTATGTGGAAGCAGAGGAGATGGCGATGCCATATTTTTGAAACGCAGCCCTCCCCCTTCGATATTCCCTGTGCTAATACACCATCTTTGCAAGTCTCCAGTCTCAAAATGTGGCCCCTACCAGGGCATGGAAGTATAGATCCTGCACATGTCCTAAATCTGGTGCAATCTTAAGAACACCAGGCATGTAGACCCTTTATGAACTCCAGAGGGGAGCTTTACGCTTGTGACAAGATTCCCAAAGGCTTAGGGTACCTTGATAGAACTAGCCTCTTTTGAGATTGCACCCATTTCCATTTCTTGCTTATCAAAACCTAAAGACCCTCTGTTAGATTTCCCCCCAGAAGGTTTTACAAGGATCTGTCAGGATAATAAGAATTTTATTACAGTCAGAAAAATGTTTTCCACATCCTCTGTTAGTAGCACAAGCCACCCGCTGACGGATAATCCCTCCTCATTTGTCCCAGAATATTGGGAGAAGGAGTCTTCTATCCTTGCTTTAGCATTTCCTGAGGACACACCTGAAATTTGCTTTCACATTAGTTCGCCTACTTGCTTAGCCTGAATAGGGGAGAGACATGTGTTGTTGCATCTGGGACACAGGAAGTGGTCCGGTTGTGAAGATGCAGACGGGCTTTTCTTCTCCCTGTATTCCCCCCACGTGCAAATGTTCCATTCTGGCTGCAGCCTCTGCTCACAAAAGTGACTTATCCCTCTCTCTGAAGGGGGTTTCTTTGCCTCCCCACTTTTCCTTGACCCAAAGCCCCCTCCCCCCAAAAGGAAGCAGAGCCTGGATCCCAAAGGAAGAACAGAGCTGCAGATCTCCTGCGAACTGGCCCCCTCCCTGGCTTGGCAGAGAGGACGAGGGAGGACCCTCTGCTCCCTGACTTGGAGGTCTATCCCACCAGGCATGATCTGAACAGGGACCCCCATGCCCCCTCCCTGCACCCCTGGGACCCCCTTCTCCCCATTGCACCCTCAGGGGGAGGAGTGAAGAGACTCACCCGAGTCCAGGAGGGGCTTTTGCAAAGGAGAGAGAAGAAAGCAGGAAGGGATGGGGGAGGGGGGAATTTAGCCATGGAGGACCTTCACTCCCTGTTCTCTCTAGGAATCCAGCTCTGCTCCTTTTAACCCTTTGCAAGCCAAGGGACCCTCTCCCTCTCCATTCCTGCACTTTTCCGCTTTTGCCCCTGCACTTAGGGGCTCCCCTTCCTCCCCCCCTCCATTGTGCCAAGGACTCTGCCCCAAGGAGGCCACAGCTTATCCAGACTAACCGCAAGGGAGACGGGGGTTCCCCATTACTATTCTGCCACATACCCTTGGATCCACACTTTAAAGCAGCTACATATTGTTAAACTTTAGGAATTCACAAGAAGTCACATCGTTGTTTCAATCTTATCTGTTCCAATGGCATTTCGGACCCAGGGAAGTGAGGCATAATGGGAGGGGCGAGTGAGCCCACCGTAATCCTCGAGGTGTACAGGGCCTTCCCAAGGAGTCATGACCGGTGAGATCCTGCCCCAAGAGTGGCAAATAGATAACTGTCTCAATCATAATGCCCACCAACCCCATAGTGGGATGAAGCCCAGACAAGACCAAGGGATGTATTTGAACTGTCCATGCTTTCCTTTGCAATGTGATGGAAGACTATATTTGATGGATGGGGCCCAGCCTGGAGCTCAGGGTCTACCTGAGACCACACCTTTTCTGTGACAGATCTATGCTGCTTCTGGAAATGTATTGTGGGAAAGCCTAATCCCCTAATCCCAGAGGGGACCAGCAGGGAGGTCTTGGAGCCAGGGAGGGGGGTGAAGGGGAGAGGCTCCATGGAGGCCCAGACTCTGGGAGGGGAGTCAGCAAGAGAAGGGAGAGGGGGGTCGGAAGAAGGGTCATCTAGTCCCACCCCCTGCAAGGCAGGAAGGCTTGATGGAGCGGGGTCTGGTCTGCTCTCCAGAGGGGTATTTCCTTGCCAGCCCAGAGACCCCCTCAGGGATGGGGTCCAGTCTTTGTCCAGCAAGAGGGGTGAGCAGCCCCCAAACTAGGAAGCACCCCATGGCTCTGCTTGCCTGCGCAGCACCCACCATCGCCTGCTCCTTGGTCCCCGGAGACAGGGCACCCCTCCAGGGGTCCGAGAGAGGAAGCTTTGCCGACCTGCCCCCCCAGCCCCCTCCTCCCTGCACCGCCTCATGGAGGGCAGCCAGCTCAGCCTCTCTTTCCCCGGAGTGGCCCCAGAGAGGCTTCCCGTGGGGCTCTGGCAGGGGCTCCCCCATTTCCAGGGGGCAGCAGGACCCTCTGCTCCCAGACTTGGGGGTCTCCCCTGCAGCCCGGGATCCCCTTCTCCCCCAGGCACCCCAAGGGGAGAGAGAGAGAGAGAGAGAGAGAGAGAGAGAGAGAGAGAGGAGACTCCCCGGACTCTTCCCAGGAGGGAAACCGAGGCAGCAGGGGGAGGAGACAGACAAGAGAGGCCGGAAGGGGCGCGGAGGGAGGGGACTCTGCTCTTCAGAACCCGCCCCCTGCTGTCTCTACTTCCTGTCCTCTCTAGGACTCCAGCTCTGCTCGATTTAACCCTTCGCAAGCTGAGCCCAGAGTGCTGGCCGCTGCTCCCCCTCTCAGTCCGCCCCCCACACCCAGGGGTCCCCTCAGCCCTCCTTCTTGGGGGGTCTCCCTCCCCTCCCCCCTCTTGTTGTAAATAAAACTATGCCCTTTTCCCTTATGGGGTATCCAAGAGCCCATATAGAGACCTTACATAGGTTCCCTATTGGTAGGAGAAAATAACAGAGGCCAACCAGAGAATATTGAGAAGCAAAGCAGCTAGTAAGCTTGATCTTTATTGATCTGTTGCAACAGGGTGCTCCCCTCACACACAGGAGAGGAAGAGGACCCCCCAAAATGCTGTGCAAGGGATTATAAAGACTTTTGAAATTGCCACCCTGTTGATCAAGACCACCCCCAGAAACATTATGCATTCATCACAAAAGGGGTGTAACCTAAGACCACCCCTCATGTAAGGCGGATCTAAAACAGAACATTTGCATGTTGTTTTTGCCTGTCGCTTTGTTTATTTCCTGTCTGGCAGGTTACTTGATTGGATTTCTTGGGGAGCCTGGGCAGTCTTGTAATGATAAGGCTCACACCCTTATTCAAACACAGATTAAGACAGGATTTGTGAAGGAAGAGACAATGGGGAGGCTTTTCCATTTTGACCATGCAGAGAAACATTTGCTCAGTTTAGAAATCAAAATGGTTCCAGGTTGGCTTTCCTGTGCTGATCTATGTACGTGTGGTTATGAACGTTGCCATATATCTAAGACCATAAAATTCCTATCACATTATCCCCCCTACGGGGCTAGAATTTTTCTTAAAAATTTTTGTCCCACAAATAATTACATCGTATGTTGTAAATGGATGCCTTTGTATAAATATATCATATAAAAATAACATATGTTGCATTTTGTTACTAAATTAGTTGTGGCATTCTAGCTCTTGGGAGAAACATTTTCTCAATAGTGGCTATGCTTTACGTTTAGCAGGAAGGTCCACTACTGACTGAAAAATGCAGTTGGTGTTTTGTCCGCCATTTTTGTGTTTCTCAGGTGTCAGGCTAGCTCTTCTGTGGTCTCACACCGGCATAGTGCTACAGCAACACATCCTCTCTGTTGAATCCACTCGGGGCTTTCATTTAACCATGTCGCCTGGCATTCACCATAGCTGGCACAGGTTTGGACATCTCATGAGAGAGAAGTCTTTGCCTTGGCCTTTCTATGGGATTTTATTATAGGCTGTGATCTTGCACTCATGGGAAGTTGCTCACTTGCACTTAAAGGACCAAAAAGCTAATTGCAGCCTGGATACACTTGCCCAATTCAAACTGAGTCCAATTTGAATTTATCTTGCCCCATGGTTCTCAACTCTTCAAACCAATCTGTTAAAACAAAACTATTCTTTAAAAGGGCACTTGTCCAAATAAGTCAATTTAACTCTATAAGGGATCATTCCTGCTAAACCAAAGCATATCCACCTTCATGTATCTTAGAAGCTTCTCCTTGGTAAAGCAAATTTTAGCACATTTTTAAAATGGGTAGGGAAGGTTGGCATAGTGCCAGGTGGGACAATCTAAACATTGGACTACACAATAGCCTGGTCTATTAGAACGCATAAAATGTATGAGAATCCTCCACTGGGGTGTAAGAAATAAGACATTAAACATAAAAACAATTACACACAAAAATAGCCCCCCCTTGTGGAAATAACACACTGTCAGACACATTTCAACATTCCTACGTAATAACACATAATACAAAAAAACCTAATTAAATATCAGTTGCATATCTTGAGACAATTGTGATCTTCTCAACCCTGGAGCACAGTGGGAAAATGTCCTTGCAATTCAACTCCTCCCCCCTTTGTCAGCCCCACTCCCCTGTCAGTCTATATCCTTTGAAAGAGATAGCTGTGGGCATTTTGAAAACTCTGGTTTCTGTTGTTGCAGGTCTTGTGATGGCGAAGAACTGAGTTGAGGGTTTGTTGCTGCTTTTTCATCATTGCACATCTGTAGAAGTGATATCCTGTAAGGGGGCAGGGTTTTGGGGGACTTAAAAGACAGGAGTTAGAAAAAGGAAGGATCAAAAGCCCCCTCCCCAAGAAAATCTCCTTGAGTTATTAGCTGCAAATAATAAAATCTTAGCATGTTAAGCATTTTACTCATTTTAATATTGTTATCACATTTTCATATAATTACTGTTATCTGCTAAGTTTGTTTGCTTTCCTTCACTTAGTTTTTGTTGTTGTTTTTTCATATTATTAAATAAAAAATTACTCCACATGTATAGAAAGAGAACTGTAAAAAATACAACAAAGGTTAAAAAATAAAAAAGAAAGCAAAAAAATAGATTACCAGTCAGATGAAAATAGACTTGACACAAAGACATCAGATTTAGGAAAGAATTATTATTAAATAATACAAAGATATTATCAAAACCACAGATTACTACTGGACTG